AGTCGTATTTCGACTCTGCCGGGTGAACTCCGGTCACCCTTGAGCGTTTTGCGAAATTCAAGATGGCGTCCAAGACGGCCGCCATTTCAAATAATCCCCCATAACTCCCATAGTATTTATTCTAGGACGATAATTTTGGGGTCTAAACGTATGTTACTCGGGTCAAGGAATACACTGAAATCATTCATTATGTTGTGGGGTGATTAGATGACAGTAAAATCTAAAATGCCAGACAATAGGGGCCATTATTTCACCAAACCAAACTATATCTAGAGACAAACTATATATTTCTGGATAAAGCAACATATGAGTGATGTGATAACATCACATACATGCCTATTAGGGGCTCCAGGGCAGCATGAGCCGTACCTGAAAAGGAGGGCACAAGCTGTTTTGTGAACATTTAAACAAACAAATTCTACCCACAAAACACGAAAATAACCCCCAGAAAACTAGGCAATATTCAGTTTAATCCTTTGGTCGTATTTTTGTCCCCCACCTTTCGAAGAAAGCAGGGGACTATTAAAATGGGTTCGTCCGTCCGTCTGTCTGTCTGTCTGTCCGTCTGTCTGTCCGTCTGTCTGTCCGCCTGTCTGTCTGTCCGTCACACTTTTTGGGACACAATAACTCTCTTCCTAATTGAGCTAGAATGTTCAAACTTGGTGTATGTGTTTATTAGGTCAATGCCTTGATGGAGTTCGAAGATGAGCATTTTCCGCTTAGGGTAAGCAGAGATAAGCAATTTGATTGGTTGATGCTTTGGGACACGATAACTCTCTTCCTAATTGGGCTAGAATGTTCAAACTTGGTGTATGTGTTGATTAGGTCAATGCCTTGATGGAGTTCGAAGATGAGCATTTTCCGCTTAGGGTAAGCAGAGATAAGCAATTTGATTGGTTGATGCTTTGGGACACGATAACTTTTAATTGAGCTAGAATGTTCAAACTTGGTGTATGTGTTTATTAGGTCAATGCCTTGATGGAGTTCGAAGATGAGCATTTTCCGCTTAGGGTAAGCAGAGATAAGCAATTTGATTGGTTGATACTTTAGGGCACGATAACTCTCTTCCTAATTGAGCTAGAATGTTCAAACTTGGTGTATGTGTTTATTAGGTCAATGCCTTGATGGAGTTCGAAGATGAGCATTTTCCGCTTAGGGTAAGCAGAGATAAGCAATTTGATTGGTTGATACTTTAGGGCACGATAACTCTGTTCCTAATTGAGCTAGAATGTTCAAACTTGGTGTATGTGTTGATTAGGTCAATGCCTTGATGGAGTTCGAAGATGAGCATTTTCCGCTTAGGGTAAGCAGAGATAAGCAATTTGATTGGTTGATGCTTTGGGACACGATAACTTTAGTTCTAATTAAGTGAGATTGATGAAACTTGGTGTATAGATTTATTATATGAATACCTTAACTAAGTTCGATAATGAACATTTTTTGCTGAGGGTAAGCAGAGTGATAAGCAATTTGATTGGTAGAAACTTTGGAACACAATAACTCTCCTTCTAATTGAGGTAGAATGTTCAAACTTGGCATAGGTGTCTATTAGGTGAATGTTTAAACTTGATGTATATGTAGATGTTCATTAGGTGAATGTCTTGACTGAGTTCAATAATTAACATTTCGAGCTGAAGCTAAGCAGAGCTAATCGATTTCATTTGTCGATGGTTTGGGACAAGATAATCTTGATTCTATCTGATAGAGAGTGATGAAACTTAGTGAAAAAAATAAATGTGCGATTAATTAATATGTGTCATCTATTTACTTTGCAATTTCGGCGGGGGACATCAGCCTCACTGTTGGCTCGTTTTATTTAATTTGAGTCATTCTATTTGCCCATGACTTGTCTGTGTCTACGGTTGTATGCAGTCTGTGACTTGCCATGTTTTAATTTGCATTAAAGACAGTACAAACACAAAATACTGTACATTCTAAGCCATCCGTAGTGCATTTACAAGCAAGCGTACTGCATGAGGTGTCATTCTTGTATCCGCATCTGATAAGATACATGACAGACCCCGGAGCAAGTTGGCCGGTTGTAGTGTTATCAATTTAGTATTCTTCACCCAGCAATGGCTTGTTGACGAGCTCTTTTTACATTCTCTGTAATGCATCATTCATTGAGCAAGACTGCCATGTTTGAGTGGGGATGATGACTTTTAGATGTCCATACCCACCAGTGTGTTTCAGGCATCGATTTGCTAGAACTCTGTCCATAACAAGCTGACATAAATACATGTGCAGTGGCCTGTGTAAGCACCGATTCTACTACTCCGACGAGTGAGAGAGAGAATACAATCAAGCTCTCACCACTTCCAAAGCTGTATTAGCATGCAACCGTGTCATATCGAGTAAGAGTATGGGCTGACAAGATTCCAATGATAATTGACATGTCAACGGTTGTTTCTTCTTTGATTGGTGATTCCATTGTGACGTGATTCTTGTCAGCTTGTTATGGACAGAGCTCTTGCAAATCGACGCCTGAAACACGATGGAGGGTATCGGCATCCGAAACTGGAAATATATCGTCATCGTCCACATTTAAACCATGTAGTCTTGCTCCAACGAATGATGCATTCGTATGGAAAGTAAAACGATGTCACCACCATGCTATTGTGTGGCGTTCACTGGAAGATCGCAATCCACCGGAACTTGACCCAGAAATGTATTGCTGGGTTAAGAAGACTAAATTGAGAATATTACAATAGGTCAATTGCTCCTGTGGCTCATCAAATGTGGATGCACGAGTGACGCCCCAAATAGTACGCTTGCTTGTAGCTGCACTAGGGGTGGCTTAGAATGTATAGTACTTTGCACCTGTGAAGTCGCAGGTTGCAACAAGACACATGACTAAAAGATTAAACTGAATATTACCTCGTTTTGTGGGGGTATTTTCGTATTTTGCGGGTTGAATTTGCTTTTTTAAATGATCAAAACACAGATTGTGCCCTCCTTTTCAGGGTCGTCCCATGTGACCCTGGGCCCCCTGTTAGGCATGTAGTGGTATCGCATCAATCATATGCTTTTATGTCCATAAATATATAGTTTGGTTCGGTGAAATAATTATTGTCCAAACCGCCTCTATCTGGCATTTTGCATTTTACTATCATCTAATCACCCCACCCCATGGATGATTTCTTTCGATATAATCCTTGGCCCCCAAAACATACGGTTAGACACCAAAATTATCATCCTAGACAAAATAATATGGGGGTTATAGGTGATTAGTTGAAATGTAGGCCATCTTGGACGCCATCTTGAATTTTTCAAAACGCTCAAGGGTGACCCAGGTCCAATCGGCAGATTCTTAAAGAGGACACCATAGGCTACTAAAATCAATCATAAAAAAAATCAGTTTGTACAACTTCCAGGTTCAGCCATAGTTCTGTCGGACTAAGTGTTTTGACGTCAAAAAAACGTCAGTGTGACGTCATTGCGTCAAAATGCTGTCATGACGTCACACTATGACCTGCTGGCGTCATGATAACCCTTTTTTCCGATTCGTTGATATCACTTTTGTATCTAATGATAATACATTTATTGCTCTAAAACGAGTCGTTTCCAAGATATGGAAGCCAGAAAGTCCAATTGGCGGCCATCTTGGATTTATGCTAATTATGAAAAACGCTACAGGGTTTCAGCGGACAATTTTGAGTTGGGAGTCCTTAAGACATCCCTTTACTAGATTCCAGTGAAAGAAATTCTTTTGCAATTTGTTCTCGGTACTTGACAAACAGAAATTATATCTCTCCGTCTATATAAGTAAGACACATAAACATGGCAGCGTAAAATCAATAGCAATAAAATTTCAGAAAACATAAGATCATTTCACATCATTGGCAGCCTAAGCCCTGAAAATGAAATTTTTGTCATTTGAAATGGAATGAAACTATAATTTAAACAAGTGGGTATATGTTTTGTTTGTCATTTATTTTGGAGACCGTTAGTGGAGCTACCAGATTTATTGATACTTACCTACATGGCCTGAGGTCACCTTTTGTTTTGACTTGTTTTAAATATACTGCATACTAAACAGAAAACGGATTATGTAGGTAAACTCTCATGTTTATCACACGGATTATGCGCAAATTAGAAACTGATTGAAAAAAACAATTTTGATAATGCACAGATACTTTGCAAATTAGATTCATATGTCACGTTTTTTTTTTAATTATCGTAAAGTATCAGAAATTCATGATAGTAATATGTCACTTGATATTGTCATTGTAATGTAAAATTTTTTAGAGTGAAATAAAACCTGAACCATCGCGTGCTTTAAGATCAGCTGATCAACTATAGTTGGCAGTGCCAACAAAATCAAGAACAAAGTATGGAGATCATGCTTTTCTGCGATGTGGTGTAGTTTTATGGAACAGACTTCCCATAGACATCAAAAGATCCGAAACATTAAACACTTTTTAAAGTCACAGCTAAAGACATTAATCTTCAAGCAAATATATGACTAGTTCTCTTGAGCAGTTTACCGGAAAGAATTGCGTTCTACAAATTCATAATTTATTATTATTATTATCATAGCCTATTAACATTGTCAGTGGTTTAAGCATCTAGTCATTTTGATGGTACAAAATAATCCACTGACTGATTGTAATAGATATAACAATAGTTTGTAGTGTCCCTTTAAGGACCGAAGTAGTTGGATGGCCCTCATTTGTTTGATTCTCGCTTGTACCTGACAAGGAGTATGGTCATCTGTCAAACCTTGTAAGTTTTCTCAGAGTCCTCGGGTTTCCTCCCACTGCGATAGACCCCTACAAGCGAGCAAATTATTGAAATAAAATTGAACCATATGTTAGTCCAGAAATGGCATATTTTGTGTCGAGTAGACATTAAATCCCATTTCTCTCTCTCACCCTTTAAGGGCCAAATTTCACTCCTGTTCCACTGTGTGGCGTGTGATTCATACGTCTTCTTTAAACCTCATCAATTTCATATCCAAATAAGACATATTGAAGATTTATTATTGTCCTATTTTTCAGGAGCATTTATTTGATGTCAGTGACTTACAGAACGAACCTCCATTAATCTCGAAGTGTGGTAGTCTGGAAGTTACGTTCCGTTATGAAGCAAAGCGTGGCAAGATACACATGATGATACACCAAGCTCAGGAAATCCCTGCTAAGGATCGGGGTGGGGCCAATAATGTACAAGTACGGGCGATGTTACTACCAACCAAACGGCAGAAACACAAGACAAAGGTAAAGTCGGGAGAAAATCCTGTCTTTAATGAAGATATTGTTTTTAATAAAATTTTCCCAGGTGAGTAATTTTATTACTGAATTCAATTATGAAATAAAATGGAGAAATGATTATACATAAGGCCTACATAAGACTTGTGATTGTTAAGTCTAGAAATATGTCCTGTTATTTTCAGGCCTAGAATTATACAGTTTGTGATTGTCAGGTCTAGAAATACATGGCCTGTGGACTACCCAATGGCAAATGCTGTCACATTTCATCTGCAAGGAGCAGTCTTCTTTTGCTTTTACAAAGCATAAACAAAGGTTTATCCTTATTTTAATGTTTTGTATAAAATATTATCTGTAATCCAGGACCATCAATCTTCTGGAGAACGGACAAACCAGTGACATACAAATGTGTGTATTTAATACTTTTTGTGTGCGATTGTAGTATATTTTCAATGTGTTCTATGGAGAGAAATTGCTATTTGGAAATATAGTTTTTGTCATTTAGAGAATCACAGAGTAGCCCCCTTATATTCAGTTGTTATACATATATCTATATTTATAATTATATAGATGATGTACAGAGCATGGGTGTACGATTCAGATTGTACGGTGTCGAGAGGATGAGGAGAGAGCGAATGATAGGAGAGAGCATTGTGGGTTTTGCATCGTTAAATTTAGATGAGGAGCAGACACATTGGGTTGTGCTGGAACCGCGGAGTAATTTGAGTGTAAGTAGATTTAAAATACAGATCTGATGCCATCCTTTGATGTTGCTGTACCATTATTTCAAATAATGGTACGCCCAATGTGCCAAGCGTACATAGGCGTACGAGCTGGGGGGGCAGCCGCCCCCCCATTTTGGGCACCAAATGCTGGGAAAATTTGGGCACACAATTGTATTTTGTAAAAGTTGTATAAAAAAAGATATTGTGTTCTTGAATGTGTCCAATTTAACAGCAAATTTATTATTATTATGTAACATACTAAGAACCTAACTACATTTTTTGGGCACCAACCACCACCGCCCCCCCAGTCAAAAATTTCCCCGTACGCCTATGCAAGCGTACATTATTTAACGCCCTCAACCATTAAGCCACACTTCGACATTGTAATAATAGCAGAGTTGTCTCCCTCTATTTTAGAAAACAGCACTTAAAGTTTTAATGTTAAATGTGTTTGCTATGGGAACACTATAGTTTCTTACTCAGTCACAAGTGCAAAACAATAGAAAGACATGTTTTCGTTACTTTGAATCTGAAATGTATCAGAAGAATTTTTATGAAGGAACCCAGTTCGCAAGCAGGATATACATAGTGCAGATCATTACAGCCTATATTCTAACAGCATGGACTAAACAAATATTAGTCTCGTCGGAGTAGATAGCACAGAGGCCTAAAGAATTGTCCAGATAGCGGAAGCAAGCCCCCGGAACCTCATTTTGTCTTGCTTTACCAAGAGCCCCCCAAAATGAATCCGTTGCAACGAGCGTGTAGCATCCATTGTGTATACAGTAACTGGCTGTCGGAGTCATATACATTCATGCAATGACTTACCGGAAATGTTGTCCCTTTCCAACATATTTACAATGCAAGACATACAAGAATCTCTGTAAGACCTTTGACCCTGTTTTTTTTTTCTGTCCGCATTTCGATTGTGGTTGAAGTGAAGACAACATATTTTGGAACAATCAACGACTACAGGATACATATTTTGATTAAATGGGATAAGACTATGGGTATACTTGTAGATCCTTACTTACTCAATTATTTCAAAACAATTGAAATATTAATGGGTTTTAAATCATAATATTGTAAAGTTTAAAGAAATTTGTGTGAAACTGAAAAACAAAATCACTTTTACGTTTCACTAGTACTATGATTGAGGAGTAGGGTGGCCAAATGGATTAGCACATGCTCTTTAGATCACAAGGTCTGTCATTAAGTCAAGTGGTAGGGTTTTGATTTCCCGCCTGTATGTGACAAGGAGTTGGGTCTCCTGTCCAACCTTGTGGGTTTTCTCCAGTTTCCTCATACTGCACAAGTGGATTATTGAAATAAATTTGAACCATGTTAGTCTCAAAATGACCTAGTTTGTGTAGAGTGAATGTTAAAACGCATTTGGATTTATAGCACAACATGCTTGATCAATCATGTATGATAATAGCCTAACACACAAATAATTTATTTGTCTGTTATTAGGGAGATTCAGGTTTTGACGTAGCGAGTTTATCTCGGAGTGATAGTGCCTCATCTACGCAGTCCCTTCAACATGGTGGTATGCCAGAATTATTGGTTGGTCTCAGTTATAATGGTACAACAGGAAGATTGGCTGTGGAGGTGATCAAGGGAAGTAACTTCAGAAATATGGCAATGAACAGAGCACCAGGTAACGTATTACCAATATATTAAAAGACTTCCATGTTAGCACAGTGATTCTTAACCAGTGTGCTACAGCACACAGGTGTGCCGCAAGATCTTCGTAAGTGTGCCGCGAAATTTGAAAATGCGAAAAACCACATGATCCTAATTGAGCATTTACTGGTTTCTACTGGTTTCTACTGGTAAGCTCATAGCTGTTGTTTTTTTTCTTTATTTAGTTTGAGTCATTCTATTTGTCTGACTAGTCTGTGTCTACAGTTGTATGCCGTTTATGACTAGCCATGTTTTTCTTTTGCAAAATTCAAATATTTTTCATATATTTAGCCGGGTGTGCCTCTCTTTTTTCGTTTGTTCCAAGGTGTGCCGTTGACAAAAAAAGGTTGAGAACCACTGGGTTAGCACATGAGCGCTGTATCATAAGGTCTTGTCATTAAGTCAAGTGACATGGTTTCTTTTCGCCGCTTGTACATGACATGGAGTGGGGTCTCCTGTCCAGCCTCGTGGATTTTGTCTGGTTTCATCATACTGCTAAAGACCGTTAGACGCAAGTGAATTATTAAAATAAAAATGAACCATTTGATAGTCCCGAAATGACCTAGTTTGTGTCAATTGGACGTTAAACCCCATCTCTCTCTCTCTCTCTCTCCAGCTCTCTCTCTCTCTCTCTCTCTCTCTAGCCTTGACAGATAATCGGATGTTTGGGTCCAGACTTGAAAGCTAATCTAATGTGTTGGTCCAGCACGGTACTTAATCAACCAATGAAAACTATAAGAGGCAAAAGTTTATTGATATTAATCATCAAAGGTTCTAAAATGTTGTTTATTTTATTTACAGATACGTATGTAAAACTGACGTTAATGTCACCAACAGGCCAGGAATTACAGAGATGTAAAACCTCAGTACGACGTGGTCAACCTAATCCTTTATTTAAAGAGACATTCATGTTTCAAGTTGCTTTATTTCAACTACCAGAAGTCACACTCATGGTGTCTGTTTATAACAAGAAAAATATGAAGAAAAAGGAGATGATAGGATGGTTCTCATTAGGTAAGTGTGGTTTAATGGTTGAAAAAGGAATAAATTTATACTACAGGAGGGCGTCGCCAGTGGGAGAACCTGGAGAAAACCCAGAAGGTTAGACACCTGACCCTACTTTTTGTCAATACAAGTGGGAAATCGAAACCACGCCACTTGACTCAATGACAGACCTTATGATGCAACGATTGTGACATATGCCGATGTGCATTAGCCCATTCGAATCAGAACAGTAGGACATTAAACCCTATTTCATTTCATTTCTATGTTTGTTTACGGTAGATGAATACATAAATGAATAAAAAATATGTCCAGTTAAAAAAATCAAATACTTTTACTATTCTGAGAAAAATCAAATAATAAGCTAGATGTCTGCTCTTTATCAAGCGGGGGATCACGGTGGCTAATTGGGTAAGACGCTGGCTCACTAGCCTGGAGGTCGGGTGTTCGACCCCTGCATTGGCCAAGAAAGTTAATCAAGATTTTCCGGTGTGTCCCCCTTGTCATTGATACAGGACGGAGGGCCTGGCAAGGACAGCTGTCTAGTCATTCAGATGGGACAAAAACTGAGGTCCCGTGTACACATTGGCGTGTGCATAAAAGACCTCTTGACAGTTGGAATTTGATATAACAGTAGGTCGTAGTGCTGATGTCCGGGCAAAGTTTCCCTCTTAGCACACTGTATGGTGTATGCTTGTCCTCATTAGCCCAGTTCGGAGCAGAGCAGTAGGACGTTAAACTCCATTTTATTTCACTTCTTTATCAAGCATGTATGTATATATTTACAGGCATGAATAGTAGCGGAGAAGAAGAACAGGGTCATTGGAGTGATATGAGAGAGAGTAAAGGGGGTGATCAAGTCTGTCGTTGGCACGTCTTACTCGAATCCTAGAGGAATTCCTACGCATTTCCTTGACCATTTGTGGAAATATGTCAAGACGGAGAACTGTGTAAATAGGCCTATATTATATTGGCATGAAAAAAACAATATAGTGCAATTTTCAACCAGTGCTTAACTTAAACTTCAAACATTTAATTCTGAAGTAAATAACGGGAACCCAGACTACTAGCAACTTACAAAAAAAATAAGACATACAAGAAGGTGACACAAAGCTAGTGATCAAATTGTAATAATATTATTAACTTCAACATATTCTCCTTTCCAGTTAACAAATTGACTGCTGTCGAAATGTTTTCGATTTTGAAGATTTGGTGTACTTTGTTTTAGTCGTACGAACTTCGGAACACTAGAGATTCTGATCAGACGGAAATTTACTTTTATATAAACCGGGATTTTCCCTGAATGTTAAATCTCAGAAAAAGATTTTTCTTGTGAAATGTATTATATGTATGTGTACATTATGTCTTTGTAAAAAGAAATTTACAAATATACAGATACTTTCTTTTCTTATAAAATTTCTGTCATATCTAAAATGTTGCCATGGGAAATATTGTGTCAAATTTATACTATTTGCATTTATTTATTCCTTTGCCTGGCATCCACTGCCCTTGAGAAACATGGATCTGTACCTGTGATATAACTATCTAATTGTGTCTATATTTCTATAGACATTATAAACCATACCCAACAGCAGTTTCATAATATTTCTAAAGACATTATAAACCATGCCCAACAGCAGTTTGATTATATTTCTATAGACATTCAAAAACCATATATCCAACAACAGTTTGATTATATTTCTGTAGACATTATAAACCATTCCCTAACAGCAGTTTCATAATATGTCTATAGACATTATAAACCATACCCAACAGCAGTTTCATAATATTTCTACAGACATTCAAAACCATACCCAACAGCAGTTTCATAATATTTCTATAGACTTTCAAAACCATACCCAACAGCAGTTTCATAACAACAGAATATTTCCGTGCCAGGGTTGATGGAAATAATTTTGACCATGATCACAGTATGCCAATATTGTATAGCATTCAACCATATATGGTGTTTTCACTTGTATAGAAAATGGTTCTTAGCTCCAATTTAAAAAATCTCAACAAAATCATATATTGCTGTAAAAAGGATTATTCCTACAAAATCCAACCATATAATATGGTGTTTATCCAGCTAGTAATTATGGTTCTTGTTACAGAGGTCAACCATATATGGTGTTTATCCTTGTAATAATGGCTCTTGTTAGAGAGGTCAACCCTATATGGTGTTTATCCAGCTAGTAATTATGGTTCTTGTTACAGAGGTCAACCATATATGGTGTTTATCCTTGTAATAATGGTTCTTGTTAGAGAGGTCAACCATATATGTTTTTTATTCTTGTAATTAAGATTCTTGTTATGTTTTTATTAAATGGTGTAAATATAATTTTATGTTGTTATATTTGGTTGTGTTATGATAAAAATAAAACCCACCATATTATTAAATAGGCATATTATGATAAAAAACCTCCCAAATTAAAAGGTTATTTATTATGATTAAAACCCCTAATATTAAATTGTTACATAATGATTAAAACCACTGTATAATTAAATGGTTATATTATGATAAAAACCACTATGATTAAATTGTTACTTTATGATAAAAACCACTGTTATTAAATGGTTATATTATGATAAAATTTACCTGTCAATTCGAATTTGAAGTTATTTAACGGTAAGCATAATAAATACAGTTCCATTTATAGTTTTTATGCTTAAAAATAATTATAAAGTATTTTAAAAATGGCTAAATCCTTGGGAAAAATGTCTTGCTAATTCGAGTTAGAATTTGACTGACTGGCAGGCCCTCTAACCTGCACCACCGACAAGGGGGGGGGGGCTGGGACCACACCAAAAAATCCTGATGAACATTCTCAACCAACATCTTACTCACTTCGCCACCGTGGCCCCGGTGCAGATGATAAAAACACCATTGAATGTAATCAACAGTTAGATCTCTCATTTCAGACATCGTACGGATCGATAAAATATTGCGGATTACAAAGCATGACAGAATACTCAATACTGAAACTTGCACAATGCTCTGTCTGAAACATGACCTGTACAACCGATTTTGTTATATTCTGTTGTTATGTTAAAAACACCATTAAAGATACATTATGGGAGATAAGATAAAGAGATGGCAGTTCTCGCTATAATAGTTAAAAACTAGATAGTGTAAAGGTAATTTGCTGAAAATTTCAGACAAATTGATCCACTATGAGCCGAGAAAGAAGCCTGTGAAATTTTTGCATAGTCTCGGTTATCATTACTAAAATCATTAATATAAACAGCATAGTCTCGATTATCCACTTTTTCTGATTTAATTATCTTTGGCCGTTAGCGGCATATATGAATCTATTCCAGCCTACATCGAAGGCTAGCCTTGACATCGAGAGTTTATTATGGTCTGGATAAGTTAATTAATGTCTAATTGATAATTTAGATAACATTTCAGGCCTAAAAAAAGACTTGTAATAAGCAGATTTTGCTCTTGCATAATGCATGTTTAAATGTAATATATAATTCTATAATAATATCATATTGTTAATTTATTTTATTTGTTTATATATAATGTATATGGGTTGTGATAATGTACAGAGTCAAATTGTGAACCATGTAAGAAATTGGAGCTGGTGTATTTTTAGAGTTTAAGTATAGGCTATTGGAATAAAGTATTTATAATGTAGGTTGTGAACTGTACAGAGAAATTTGACTTATTGTATCTAAATAGGCTATTGGGATAAAATTAATTAAAGATACATTATGGAAGATTAGATAAAGAGCTAGCAGTTCTCACTTTAATAATTAAAAACTAGATAATGTAAAGGGAATATGCTGAAAATTTCAGTCAAATTGCTCCACTCTGAACAAAGATATTAGGCCTAGCCTCGATCATCATTACTTAAGTCGATAAACATAGTCTCGATTATCCATTTTTGGATTTAATCATTAATGAGCGTTTTGCAGCCGATCGCATTAAAATCCAGTGAAAATCCGACACATAGATAGCATCGAGAGTTGATGAAGGTTTTTTCATGTTAATAAATGTCTATTTAATAGTTTATATAACATTTCAGGCCTAACCAAAGACCTGCAATAGACAGATTTAGCCGTTGCGTAACGTATGTTTAAGTATTTAAAAACAAGACGAAGAAATACCTTACAGGTTTACTTTTCTTGCGAGTTTATCTTATATGTAAATTTGGTAAAGTACATGTGTTTATCATGAGAGTATAGGTGTTTATTACAGCTTAAAGAATAAAAATGTTTGATGGTCGTATATTAAAAGGGGGTGGTAATATATATTTAATTCCAACTTCTAGTTTCACATGATATATATATATAAAAAAACCACCAATTGATGAGATTAAGATGGAAACCATAGTCACAGAACCCAAGTCACCCACACCCACCTGCCACGCCTGCTGAAATACATGATAATGTTTGTTGTTATTTTTATTTGGATGTATTGCTATATGTTAGTTTAAAATTATATTCAACCTGTATAAATAATAATTTGTGGTAGCCATGTTTTATTGTTTTTTATTTTATTTAGTGACCACATTGAATATTTAATGTGGACGTAAATTGTCACCCTTGTCCGACTCACCATAATTCTTGGTATGTAACTTTATATCCATTGATGCTGGGCAAGTATTGTGGAGTTGTTGCCAAAATACGTCAGAAATATCCCTTGAACTTAACCGAGTCGTCATTCCTCGTCCGATTTGTATAGATGCTGCCTTAAGTGGGTCCACATTCGCACGTGATTGAGTCTGTAGATTGCACCCAGTTTAATTGAAACTGCCTTGTTGATCTAAATAACTTAAAAAAAAACGATGCGGTAGATAAAAAAGATCTTGCATCCATTCAACATAAATTGTTTCAATTGCTAGGATATCTGTAACGTTCCCCCAGTGATATACATATAGGGACTCGGAGGTGCCAGGTCCTATTATGTCCTGCACTACTAGTGCTGGACAAAGTGAAACCAGAAACCTTATCGGACATCACCAGGGCCAAATTCGGACCCTACTGGGATGCCACCACACCGTTTCTAGCAAACACGGTTCACAAGAGATTGACCGACGCATGAAGGGCAACGCTATAAAATTCCTATGGCTTCCGTGAGTTGATGTTCATCTGCCGGTAAAAGTCAAGAATTATGCCAAAACTTATATCTCACCGTGTATCAGTGTTTTCTTTGTATCTCTAATACATCTCATTCGATCCGCCACAGGTTAGTGGGTCCAAAAGCTAGGGGGAAATAATAAGAGAAGTGGGACATTTTTTTTCTTAGAATAAAGTCTCGCCCAATTTACGGGTCCAAAGGGCTGGATTTCTCGTACCCGATGATATAATCACAGTCGTTGACGCTATAAGGTCGAGTAATGGTGTCGGAGGAGAGTCCGAAACTGACGGAAACATGGTGCTATACCAGTCAACTTTATCCGTAAAGCCTGCTCGGATATGATTCGACAGCCCCATGAAACTGAAACGGCTACATATTCCAGTCCACTGCGTGTTTCGAAAGTTGGCAACCCTTGGGCGACAGAACAGTGTAGGTATCGAGCTGTACCGCCTCTAGCTTCGGAAAAGAGAGAAATAGGGTTTAAAGTTGCAATTTCATATTTTTAAGTTATATTTTTAAAATTTATTAAAATAAAGCCTTAAAATAGATGGTATCTATAAACAGTCCTGCCTGGTTAAAGAATAATCATATTAATCCTATAATTCACAATTGCCAGTTGAGAAATTGGCAAAAAAATCATTTGCATCCTCAAAGTCAAACGTTTGAAGATAACTACTCCATGGTGGAGAATAGAAAACAAGGGAGGTAATTGTGTTATTATTTCAGGTGTAAATGAGTTTTAAGTGTGAGAATGACACCTATGATCATATAATAGGGATTTGACAACCTATTGAGCAAAAGACATAGAAATAATTATTGTTTGACTTACTTAGAAAATATGAAATTGTAACTTTAACGTTCACTCGACATAAACTAGGTCATGTCGGCACTAACATGGTTTTAATTTGATTTCAATAATTCGCTTGCGCGTATGGGTCTTTAGCAGTGGGAGGAAACCGGAGGACCCAGAGAAAACCCACGAGGTTCGTTAGGCGACCTTACTCACTGTCACGTACATCCGGGGAATCGAATTAAACCACGCCAGTTGACTCAAGGACAGACCTTATGGTACAACCATTCGGTCATCCAATCCCATAAGTTTCGGAAAAAGTAATTGTATTAATTTTGACTTTAAAAGGCAGACTGGCGGAGCGGGGTAGGGACGAACCACATTGATTTCAGACGGGCGAGAGGAACAGTTCGATGAAACGAGGACCATGAGACCAGCCGTATTCGTGGCATGGCGTGTCCGACCTATGTTGTTCGGCCGGTGTTTTTCGAATTCAGGTAAATCTGCCTGCGATCGACATGAGTTTGTCAGAATCGGGGTGTTGTTCTTGGTTCAGCGGCCTACTGAGGCTGTAATGAGTGGACTTCAGAAGGGCAGAACTCTCCGCCGCTCCCATTCATCTCCTCTGTGTAACGACCCATTGCTTACTGTGATATAGTACCGATATGTAATAGTAAAGCTAGTTGTGGTTACATCTCGTTTATTATAACAGTGCAGGAACATATTTATATAATTCTATAAAAGTTATCAGGCTACAACATACATGAACAACATATTATCTATCTACATGTATTCTACATATAAGTTTGTAGTCAAATGACAAGCGTGGTAAGTCACGCCCCCTTCAATTGTCACATGCCCCCGTTCTGCCTTGTCGGCGTTATGTTTCTATTTGAAAACATCTCTAATGTAGACCATTTATAACGGTCAAGATGTTATCAACAACCTTATTAATATTAATAACCATTCACAAGTTATAATACAGGTATAAAAGTAGCCTACATTTGACAGGAAATTGTGTACTATTACTAATAATATGAGGCGATAGTGACTCATTAACTAATTTAATTAATCCATGTGCAACATAATATAAATAATTCTAAGACTGTCAGTTACATCTATCCATATCATTGTTTTACATTCCTTCCCTCCTAGGTCTGTGAAACAGACAAAATATTTATATACATTTCTTCTTTGTTTAGGCTGACAAGATTAAATATTTATAAATACATAAAGAATATATAATACATTCCAACAATACAAAACATATATAATTATCTCCAATAATTTTTGTTTTTTGTAACGCATAACATATTAAGGACCATTCCACGAGAAAACCATGCAGAAGGTTCGAAGGTGGGGGTCGGCCGATTGAGTTCATATTTACAGGGTTTGGTCGACCCATCGAGCGTACTCCACAACCAAAATCGCCGATTTTAAAAATCAACCGTTTCTGAGATACATCCCGATTACGTTTTTCGGCTAATTTTCGCCATTTTCCCGTCAAATTTCGACCATTTTTGTAGCATTGCTATAGCCGTTAATCGACCAATGGCGAACTAAGTTTTGGTGGGTGATTATAGTCCGGGTCTCACCCTACCATATTATAATGGTCACCCAGTGCAACCTCTCTTTCCGTAGGTGTCAAGACACTACACAAAATACGTGTCTGCAGACACCTGAATTATACCCTTTCTTCAAATTGCGATAACTCCACCGGAGCAGGGTTTACGATAAAAGTGGAAATCGTTTTATTTGCAGTTTGACCTGTTCTAACAACATAAAAAATAAAATCGTTGTCAACTAACCTTCAACAGTATGAAAATTTGTGTCGAAAGTTGCGAAATTCGTCACTTTTCGCGTCGAATTTCCGCTTTTTAAGTGTTGGGATTTCGTCCGTACATTCCGGACATGTCCTACACTATTTCATCAATCTAGTCTTGAACAGAGGTCATTGCTTCTCTTTTGTAGGACTATTTATCAATCCAATAAGAGTGAGTATCAACCTTATCTACGTGATTACCTCTTGTTTCCCCATTGCCGGACAATTTAATCTCATTAATATCAACCGACAGCACGTAGAAACTAATCCTTGATGTCACATATTATCCTAATAGTATATAACATCCTATTAAACCTTTAACTTATTTTCCGTAATGAAACTACTTCTTTTAAGACACCATATATAAATTACCATCTACAGTGGCACTTTCCCTCGATCTCGATTATCGCACGAAAATCGCTTACCCTATAAGGCAGTGCTTACTACGAAACTACTTCTCTGCGATATCACCTCGGTGGAAGCGGACGTAAAATACAACTAACTAACAACAACAACGAAACTACTGTATGTGTTATATGTTAACGGTGTCGTTCACCATATGCTAAAGTTCTGTATGTCTTTTAGAAGCGATTTAACTATCAATGTAATTTTAAAATACCATTTTACGAAAATGATTTGACATCACCACAAGTAATTCTCATTTCGGACGTCTTTCTTTCATTTGCTGCCGTATAAACACAGACTCGTAATTTTGGAGGAATATTACTGCCGTGAATTTGATTGAAGCAGGCACGGATCGGCAAATTTCATCCTATCGTATTACGAAAGCACGTAATTTTGTAGGAATATTACTGACATAAATGTGAATACCATATGGGAATTAAATAATGAATAAGCGATTGCCATGCAAGATACGCCCACAGTTTTCAAGAGATGGACAGAGATGAACTTGAAGCCGAAGCAGGATCGGCAAGCTTTCATTCAATCAATGTAGTACGAAAACACGTAATTTTGTACGAATATAAATAAAATAAAACCAAGTACGAACAATCCAAACCATAAGACAGAATTCGAAGTCCTAAAAAACGTTATAGGCAAAATAGTGTATTCAAGCAAAATAGTGTAATCAGCAAATGGACTGCTCCTCGTGTACAAAATACACGACAAACAGTGGTAACAGGTATCCGGAAGAGTAAGCTTACCCTGCCTGGCGCCACACCCGCCATAGCTGCATCCAAACTATTAGGCGAAATGTCGGTAAAATAGCGTGATTGGCCAATGAACTATCGGTATGCAAAATGCACGCGATGAACTGTGTTAACGATGTAGTAGACATTATCAGGGAGACAGTAATAGTATACGTGTCAATTAATAAATTTGAATACCATACGGGAATTAGATAGAATGAATGGAATGAAATGGGGTTTAACGTCCTACTATTCTGCTTCAACTGGGCTAATGAAGACGGGAGAATTAAATATCAAAAATATCGAGGTGCACATATTGTTATTACGTATACGGGATTTGAATATTTTGTTGACACGTGATTTTTAATTGTGGTATGCATCCGTCTGCTTAAATTACGATCAGAGTTATGCTCCTTTACTTTCGGTAAAATGTCCGACAAGAAATTTTTTGAAATCCCAACTCTAACTCATTTGTTTTTCGATATTTTCGAATGAGATATGGTTTGTTGATAGAGCAACGTGTGAACTTCCAATTGCATGTATCCCTGATGACCTCGCGATTGAAGGTCACGGTCATGGTCAAATAGGCGATGTTCATGGAAATTGGGTCTGTTTTGCATAATTGTCGACTTTCATCA